TTGATCTGAGCAAAATATTGATTATTGATTTGCCTACTGAGGCACACAGTATTGAACAGTCAATTGTGGTGAGTGATGCTGAACTGCCTGTTGTATGTTGTGAGTGACACTGAATTGCCCCAATTGTGGCTCAGGAAAAAATGTGCCAGCTGACTTGTCAAATAATCTCCTTAATTAAATAATGTTCTGGGAAGTAATTTGTGTAATTGATTACAAACAAAAGCAAGAGCTTGTTAACAGTATAATGAGGAAATTAATTCCATCTCATTATATTATTCAGCCTTGATAAAGCATATGGAGGCTTTCTGTCTGATTTGACCCTCATGCAGGTAATTGTTTGGGAATGCCTGATCATTAAGATCACAACATTTGTTTTGAAGCTTGGCCTTTGAAATCTAAACCCAAAGCACTATATGTGTGTTCACAATGTTCTTGGGATAAGAATGAAAATCAAATAAAACATTTCAACTCAATTAAATTCAGGAAATGTTAATTAACCATGGAGGTCAACCAGGTTATACTCAGGGAATATGGCTAACATAAGCATTTTTAAATTCCAAGTGCATACGATGTTGACATTCCTTGTTTTTCAGACATTCTTTGGGTCTTGTACTCTCTTTAACTGTTAAATATACTGTATGATATTGACATTTGCAAGAAAGATCTATTGTAGCAACAATAACTATTAAATGTTTTGATGATCATGGATATGGTGTATTGAGAGTCCATATTATTAAATTAAAGTGATTTTACATATCTGTTTCACAATCGAGGCAGCAATTAATTTCCTTGCGTCAGTAATTCATATTATAAATACTTCTATCGATCCATTCGTTTTGCACTGTTGCTTTGTCATTTAATAGATCTCCTTTAAGTTCAACCAAGGTTCTCAGAGCTAATTTGAAGACAATTTCAAATTTATTCAATATTTTTGGAAGAACTTTAACAGATTTTTTCATTTTAAAATAGATTTTTGTTCTTTATTTGTCGATTCGGTGTAAATATTGACGAATATATTGTAGCTAAAGCGATCCGCGATCGCACACCCCTGTATAGTATTTGCTCCGATATATCACGTGACGAAATAATCCACAATTTGTGGATTATTTCACCAGCCTTTACCAGGGCCTTTGCTGCCCTTCGCATCTTTCCTCAAAAGGCCCTGGGGACAAGGTTGGTTGCGAAATGGGAGCTGTTTTATAAATTATAATGTTAACAGAATGGCAAAATCAGCTAAACATCGGAGTAGTTTAGGGCAATTTAAACATTTGTACGATTATTAAAATATGCTTTAGACAATTAAAGCAGCACAGTTAAATCCCCGTGGCTTATTTCAAGCATAAATTGAATTGACATCGTCGTGCTGATCGCGTCGTAGATCGTAAACTCGCTAATGTTCAATGATAACGCCGGCATCGGCCGCAGGAATATGTGAACCAGGCTAAGGTAAAGTGCATACTGCATGCTGATGTTTTACTTCGATTGAATACAATTCTTCGCCAAATTGCCTTACTTTTGAATTTGCATATGCGAAATCGTTTATACAACTGAATACCGAAGAACATAGAGCAAAACTTGCATCCAGGGACATCAAATTCAAGCCACGTCACACCCTAAGAATTGAGGAATTGTTTTTAATGCATTTGACACATACTTGACAAAACAAATGATCATGGATCGTAACCCCTGCATGGTTAAGCTTGGTTCACACTGGTCGTAATTCAACGACGATCTATTGCATTCTTTTCCGGCAGACAAAGCATTTTACACACCAATGACCACAGACAATGGAGATTCCTGATTCTTACGACCAATGTGAACCAGACATAATAAAAATTTGAAATACTGTTGTTTTACAACTCGAAAACGACTGTGAAAGAAATGGTTTCAGAACCGGTAGATCTCACAAAAAAGCTCAGATATATTATACAGCTGTTTGGTAGTATAGTGAGTGCTTGTTGACTACAAATAACTTGGTTCCCATTGATCGGCGATCTAATGTATTCTTTTCGGACGGACAATGCATTTTACACACCAATGACCACAGACAATCGAAATCCACGATTCTTACGACCAGTGTAAACCAGGCATAAGGTTGCATGCTTAAACAATGCACATGCATAACATTTCGAAAGTATTTCGAAAGTTATTAAGCACAAAAGATAAATTGCGTTTATTTTGATGCACCCTGTATATATATATATATATATATTTATATATATATATATATATATATATATATATATATATATATATATATATATATATATATATATATATATATATATATATATATATATATATATATATACACTGCAAAAAATACCGGAGTATTTTGACTCAAAAATATGAGTAAAACAATGCACCCACAGTGACTCAAAATATTGAGTAAAACAACTCAACTTAGTGAGCAAATTAACTCAACTTTTTGAGTAAAGCAAATGCACCCACAGTGACTCAAATTTTTGAGTAAAACATCACTTTACTCAAATTGTGAGTAAAAAATACTCAAATTTTTGAGTAAAGCAAATGCACCCACAGTGACTCAAATCTTTGAGTAAAACATCACTTTACTCAAATTGTGAGTAAAAAATACTCAAATTTTTGAGTAAAGCAAATGCACCCACAGTGACTCAAACCTTTGAGTAAAATATCACTTTACTCAAATTGTGAGTAAAAAATACTCAAATTTTTGAGTAAAGCAAATGCACCCACAGTGACTCAAATCTTTGAGTAAAACATCACTTTACTCAAATTGTGAGTAAAAACTACTGAAATGTGTGAGTATAGTAAACACACCGACAGTGACTCGAATTTTTGAGTAAAACATTACATTACTCAAATTGTGACTGTGAGTAAAAAATACTCAAATTTATGAGTAAAGCAAATTCACCCACAGTGACTCAAATTCTTGAGTACAACATCACTTTACTGAAATCAGTAAACACACCGACAGTTTTCACTCAAATTGTCAGTGAAAAGCAAATTAAATTAACACGCGTTACCTAACTTGTGCATGCATGCAGTCTTGAAAAGTATATTCACCAATAGCCATAAATCAAACACTTGAATAAAATTTATTTCAATGAAATTTAACGAAGTTATATTACTCAATCCTATATATATAATATAACTAAATCACGTCGATCTTTGTAATAACTTTAATTTCACAATAAAACCATGAAACATTTTGGAATAGTAAACATGCATGTGAGTACATGCAGCGGAACATGCGAGGAATGCCCCCAAAATGAGCCCCTTGCTGAGTTGCTGCTCCTTAAATCATGCATGCTATAATAGCCCTCCTGAAGTCAAAATAATTTATTATCCCTCTATATACAAGGTATACAGTATTGTAACAGGAAATACAATTTGCTTTAGCATATAATTATATATTCTTATGCTCGATAACATTCTTTGAATGCAGTTCTAAGTTCAAAGTTTGATTGATGATATCATGGCTGCATGTGTATAATATGATGGATTGCAGGATGTTGCAAATAGCCAATATTAAATATAGGAGACAATCAACAGCCTACTCTAGCAAGGCAATAATAGCAGACTGATCATGGGTTTTTGTAGATGGACATTTCAAATGGAAACTGTACAGTTAACATGTGTTTCATAGAACTAACTGGGAGCATGTTTCGCTCGCTACTCTGGTTTAAATAAATTATTACAAAGTCCAGTTGAATTGTAATCAAGACCCAACGTTTTGACACTCCAGTCTAGTGTCTTCATCAGGGGTGATCTAAAGTTGCAATTGTCACTTCTTAAATACCCAAGGGATGACGTCACCTGCCAATGAGATGCATGTAATATGATATTAATGTTGCCTTAAAACCGTATTTGACTTTAGGCCATATTTTCGCAAAGCCAAAAGATCCTGTTAAAACAAATCAGAAAACTCATGCTGTATATTCTATACCATGCGGTGACTGCGAAAAAGAGTATTTGGGTCAGTCTTAACACTAGTTTGGTACATGGCTAAAAGAACATCAAAAGGCTGTTTCAACTTTAAAACAAGGGAAAATCAGCTTTATCAGAACATGTGTGTGGCACCAAACACGAGATTGTGTCGGAAAAATCTAATAAAAGTAATTACCACAAACAATCGCTATCATGGTCAAAGACTATGCCTAGAAGCATGGCATATAAATATGAGTAATTATGCTGTGAATAGGGATGACGGTGCCTATTTGCCAGAGGAATACATGCATCTCATTGGCAGGTGATGTCATCCCTTGGGTATTTAAGAAGCCACAATTACAACTTTAGATCACCCCTAAAGAAGACACTAGACTGGAGTGTCTAAACGCTGGGTCTTGATTACAATTCCACCGGGCTTTGTAATTATTTATTTAATCCAAAGTAGCAAGCAAAAAACACAATTGATATACCTGGTTGTGGTGAACAAACACACTTCAAATAACTCAGATAGCAATTGCAAGTCTGCCAGCATAAACTGAACCTACAGCCCTGCAATTCTACTGCTGCCCTCTGACTTAAAGTGTCTGTTTGCCAAGAGGTCACCACAAGTTGCTGTACATACTGTATATAAACCATTAAATGGTGGTGTCAGTGGTAGTATATTAAGTTAACTGGTATCAGTATTATATACATAAACTCCTGGCGACCTTCATTGACTCTTGGGGCTTGATGGACTCTTTGCAATTAAGGAGCTGATCCGAATCACAGGGGTTTCATTCCCGGCACAATAGCTACTACATAGTTATTGTTCAATATTTCCATCTACAGAAAGACTTTAACCCATTGAGTGGCAGCATACCTTGCATTGGACACAAAATAATAAAATAATAAAGTAGAGCACATTGCCACTTAAAGGGTTAAATATTCTGTTCAATCTTGAATTACAAGTAAAATACACTGCATGTAGTGTCAGTGCTCAATCAAGCATATATGTTATGTCTAATGTCGTCAAGTCCATTAGTTAAATTTTAGTACAAAACAAGCTGTACTATACCACCAGTCGGCAACTCCTAGTCCTTTCCTTGCATGGTTTGGTAATCCGTAAACATGCTCTCCAGCAAAAGAATAACATTTTCCAAATAGACCATGAAGTACTTAGAATGCCATTAATGATTATATTGCCACTTGTTTAGATGACTTGCCTTCTCCTGGGATGCTTCGATAACTTTTCATTCGGCATCACAGGATATAATGAATCCATATTAAATACAACCACTATTAAGAAAAAATATACAAGATTGATATATCACAGAAGCAAATTATTGAGTGACAATAAATTTGCTATTTTTGGTTGTTTTCTAGTGTACAAAGCAAGCAGAGGTGTAACTTAACACTTGGCCACTAATTGCCCGAGACAAGTGAAATTCATGACGGGCAAGTAAATGTTTTATCTTGCTTGCCCGATTGGGCAAGTTGCCTGATTAGTGCCGCAAAAATCTGGGCATCTTTAATTTAAGGGCAGATAGTCTGATTAACCCATTGAGGGACAGATTCTCCTCCTGACAAGTAAAATTGTCCGATGTTTAGACAAAGTA